CTGTGTTTTGCATTCCTCATGCAAATTACATAATGACTCAGCTGCACACACACAGCTACATACAGCTACACACAGCTGTTTGTTTAAAATAACACACAGATACACACAGAGCGCTCTTAACTGCTTTGGAAACCTGTTTTCACACAACTCGTTCCGAGTATCAATCTCCGTTTAAAGATTACCAGCAACTAAGAACCATGTAAGAATCATAATTTATGCAGTTGACTAAAGCCGAACAGGCAATCAATAAAACTCAAAACAACAAAATCCAGCAAGATTTGAAATTCATAACTCATATCCGATATAGCATTCCAAGTCGGGGTGTTGCATAACTAGTATATATGTAGACGTATGTATATGTAAACCACACAATACTCATTCGTATGCGTTGGATACAGCATTGAGAATTCACTTGAATCGTGAATAATCGTATGCAAAAGAATTTAAGAGTTTCTCAACGCACAAATTCCTTAATGGGAGGTGAGCAATTTCACGATAAAATCAATCAATAATTTACATAGCTTTCTCTTGTGAGCCGAGAAACTATGACTTCAAAACAAATATTCTAGACGCCTTACTCTTTCTGGCTTTAATTTGAGTTTAGCCTTTGGCTTATAGCTATCAAAGTATGGAATTGAATATCATTTGGCTCTGGATTAAAAATGATCATGACAAATTCAACGAGACGCAATAAAAACTCTCAAGTTAATTTTTTGTATGGGCCAAATTTTAGCCTGCGGCCTAAAGCAACTCGTTGAGATCGTCGAAAACTAAGAAACCACAATGATCTTTGTATGTGTGTGATATGATAGGTGTGTATAATATGTATAAAATAATCAGCGTTTTACTTAAATATTATCATTTTGCGCTGACATGGACAAACAAAAGTGCTGTGAGCAGCAATCTGTTATCTGACATATCAGGCAGATATATATTTTTTCGTATTTTCGCTGTTCCGTGTTTTGATAAGCGACAAAAACAACTAGTGAAATTCTTTTGACGTTTTATAATCCACGTGCAGCCTGCCCCAAAGATGTCAACTGCGATTAGTATTAGATAAAAGTATGTGCTCTATGCTAATTATCGCACAGATTATGGACCATACATTTCCATTTCCGAGAGTTTCCAGTGTGGATTCGATTCAAAAAACCAACGAGGCTTGACAGTCACTTTTTGTGCCCCATTCTCTGCTCTGATTGTCATTGTTTAACGGGGCGCTCTGGGAGGGCGTAGCTTGGCGGGGTTTGAGTTCCAAATCAATTTAATTGTGCGCGAGAGTGTGACAAAAGTTTTTGTCGCTCTCAATTCGATTGCTTTGCCAGCGCGCTAACAATTTGTTTATGTGGTGCAAACAAATTCTCCTGCCACCAGCGCCTGTTGCCACTCAATCAGTCTGTTGGGCCCGGCGCCTAAATATATGCCAAATAAAATGTACACAAGCGCACCCAAAACAGTCTATGAGAGAGTGGGGAGGGGAGGGGACGAAAGTCAGGCAATCGATAATGCGGCATGGTACGTAAACAAAAACGGAAAACTATTCCCGGAAAGAAGCCTGCAATGTGTGCGGGGTCGACAACTGGCCACTGGCCATAGATAAAACCTGCACTGCACACAAAAAAAAAAAGTTTAATTAAGTTTATTATACAACAATTTTCTATATTAAAATTGTAATATTCAATACAAATATAATCTAGAGCTATGCAATATATTTGAATTCAATATTTTGTAATGTGATTAAGTTCTGATTAAATTAACTCGAACATACGAAAATGTTCTTTCGCAAATTAACGTAGCATTTTTAAACAAATTTTATTTAGAAATGTATACAGTCTAGACAAAAATGATTAAATTAGGTTTAATATAAGACAATTCCTAAAAAGGTGTAAAGATCTTGACCCGAGCATGGAAATCAATTACTTAATACAAATATAGATAGATCGCAGTCTACACAAAAATGATTAAATTAAATTGAATATAGGACATTTTACAGTCTTAAAATTGAAATAAAAAATAATAATAATAATAATTGGATTCATTATTTTCTAATGTGTTAATTTTTAAGTTCGGATTTCTCGTTTTAATTTCAGTGTACAAATTATGACGGCAGATATAGATGACAGTCTAGACATGGCAAGACTCCAGCTTTTACCTTATCAACTCTTTAATTTCAATCAATTTATGTAACTCGATTGTAACAATAAAGTTCGAATTTTAATAAACTCTTTTGGAGACTTGCAAACTGAACAAAACTACAAAAGCACAAAGCGCAATAAATATGAAGCAAAAGTTTTCTTGAACTAATGTCTGGTTAGTTTGAACACTCTAACTTAAATCACAAGCAAAATTTAAATGTTGTGTTGGTAGTAATAAATAAGTTCAATTACGAGGTACCTTGGATAGATAGTAAAAACTTCAAAAAATATAGATAAACAATTGCAAATAACAATATATTGGTCATTTGTCATTGTCAGTTGCATTAAAGCGCTTCACAAAAGGCAAAAAGATATTTACAATCAAATTTATGAACTGCTGCAGTATAAGATGTATAGTCAGATGTAGCAAAGTACTAAGATAAACTTTGCTAGTTGTTGTTGGCTACAATTTTTAATTGTAATTGATAGCAACTTTCCATAATTTTGCATTGCTTTCATTGCCGGCACTCTCAAGGTTCATTAGCTCAAAATGCCATTACATTGCTAGTAAAAACTTTATTAAAAGCGCTTACTAATCACAGCAACATTAAGGAATCAACGTAAGCAATTAGTCAAGTTTAATTTCCTGCCATAACCGAAGGAGAACCTAAGAAGCATAGCTAAATGGTGATAAAGATAAAGTGCAATCCCCTCCCCACCCCGCACACACACACACAAATAATGTATGCAGCCACCAGTCCAACCCCAATCGACCTGAGGCATCAGCATATCAGCCAAGTTAATGAGTTGGCCAAGTCAAGCAATTGCCATGGGGAGAATGAAAGCAAAATGCTTGAGAGCCACATCGACTACGAGATGCCCTGTCTGCAATGTACGGTCGTAGGGAGAGTGAATCATATTGCCCAAGGATGCAATTCTAACTCATAAAGTAATAATGTAATAAGCTGCTGAGGCAGGCTGAATTTACAAAACATGGCCCAGGCGATGACGATGACGATGACGATGACGATGCGAAGTCGAAGACGAAGCCAAACTTGTTCCTTGCAACAGCAACAGTATCTGCCGCATCATCATCATCACCATTATCATTTGTTAGCAGCAGTTAATCAACTGGGCTGCGCTGCATAAAAATAGAAAGGAAATTCCATAAAATTAAAGTTTTATGTATGCTCTTAAGCAGCAGCAGCAACAAATGCAACTGCAACTATAACAACACAGCAGCCACGTCCAAGTCCAAGACCACGTCCAAGTCAAAGACAAAGCCGGGTTTAGTTTAGTTTGCTTGGCTGTTTGTTGAACTTGCGAGCTGCCGAGCCACGTTAAGCGAAAGCCAACAGCAGCTGGAGACGCCACAGCTCCAGGAGCTGGTGCCAAAGAATGCAGTTTGCCACAATCGAAAGGCGAGAAAAGTAGCCAACAACAAGAAAACTGGTTTCCTTCCAACAACAAACAGTTGGGTTTTTATTTTGTTTTTTTTTTGTGCTGCCAACATTCATTTTATTCTTACTTTTTGCTGTGGCTTGTTACCAGTTTTGTATTGTTTTTATTTTTCTCAGTATTTTAAGCCCAAACATTTGCGGCGACTCCATCTCAAGCAACTTGGGGGCGTACCCTATGAGAAGTTTTGTCTAACCCGCCGAGATTTATGTTGATCCAATCTTGGCCAAGAAGTTAATAAGCATACTTTGCGGCTGGCAACCGCAGCCCAAGTTCGATAAGAGAAACATATGTAATTAACTCTGTTGTGAATAAGTTGTAGATAGTATTTACATATAAAGTAGCTTCTCAATATTTTCTATTTATGAGCTTAAATAAATTAAGCATAGTTCGCAAATTGCTTATAAGCAGCAAAATATTAGCTCATGCCCAAAAACAAAGAGGCTTTCGTACCAATCAAATCAAACGACACTAAAATACAGCTCATGATAGGGTTACACTTTGCATAAGATACATTTGCATATAGAGAAAACTTTGAAATTTTGTGGGTGAGAGTGGGTGAGAACAGAAACTAAAAACTATTTCATTGTGTTGCAGACACTCTCTCCCTTAATTGCTTTCGCTAATTGAGTAGGCTTATAATTAATAGTAGTAGTAGTAGTAGTTAGTTCTCAGGCACACACAGGTGCAAATAAAGATTTAGATACAGATACACAGATGTGCAGATACACAGATACTGTGTCATTAGTCATTTGAGGGTTCAATGGAGACTATTCCACGCCAAATCGGAGCAGCTATCCATAATATGCTCGATTGAGAGTGTGGCGCCACAGCTAACCAACTCTTCAGAATATTATCGCATAATATATTTAATTTGAGAAGAATAAAATAAAAAATCAATGGATATCAATTGAGATTGTGAAATGATTTGTTTACATTGAAGGCAGCCAGAACAACAAGCAAGTAAAAACAAAACAATAGGCAACATTTAGTCAGACAGAGTCATCAATGAATCATGTTTGTATATATGTATGTATGTGAATGATAGCAGTAGACAGATTATTTGCCATATATATAAGTGTATGTGTGAGCGCCAAGCCCGCTAATTGCAAACGTTTTTTTTTGTTGCTGTTGCTGTTGCCGTTTTCAAGTACACTGAATTGGGCCTTGTTAATTTGTGACTCAAACTCTGACAATTACTTTTAAGGTAGTGCCTAATAGATTTAAGTGTGGCTAGTAGTTATACGAACTGGTGTTATTCAATACTCGCCATAACATTTAAGAACTAAACCATGTCATTTTATCAGTTTAATCAGCAAGCTGTGTGGCTAAAGAGAATGAAGCCATATCTATGTAAACACACATATGTACACATGTATATATGTTCGTAAGTGTAAGATTCTTATCTACCTTGTTTATTTACTTCCTGTTCCATTTGCAAGCAGCGAGCCAAAAGAATCTCAGTAACTCTAGCCCCTTTACAATTATTTGACTGCATTGCATTTCAGAAACGCCAAAACTCTGCCAGCTAAAAATTCGTAATAATTTAGCAATGCTGAAAAAACAATTCGTATGCAACGAAATTCAGGAATAAAAATAATGTCGAATACGAAAGTTGAGTCGATCTCAAAACTTGTATTCAACAACGACAACGACAACAGCAACAACAACAGCAACAACAAATGTGTTTTTAAAATCCAAGAATTGTATGCAAATTATTCTCATTGGATGCAAAAACTCGTTTTCGCATTGGAGCGCAGAATCCATTGGTGACTCCATCTCCATCTCCGTCTTCGTCTCAGTAGTATCCATTCAATTCCATCGATAATAATACCGATTACATACACATACAAATAATATATATGTATTGTTGTTTACGTAGCTGATTTTATTGTGGCTGTTGTTGTTGTTGTTGTTGTATGACATTTTGGCAAGACATACCATTTAAATAATATTTTTGTTCGGTTTCTATCCAAATGCAGTTAATCCAGCAGTAAATATACGTTTTCAGGTTATTACTTTGGCACGGTCAAATATTTGTTGTGTTTAGGCCATCAAACCGGTTTTGAGCCTTATATAACTTATTCCGATTTTTTTTGCTAACGTGTTTCATATGTGTATTTGTATTTATTTCATCTAATTATCGTAGTAAGCAAACTCAACAACACTATTGAGAAACGGCGCAACACAACACTGCTGATCAAACCAGTAACAGAAAACGTGTAAAAACGCAACCCCCCCTTGAGTTTGGTATAGAACGTTACGCGGACATTGGACCACAAAACTCTGCAGACTGACAAACTGACGAACTGACGGTCAGCGGGCGACGCGTTTTTCGGAGAGGTTTGTTCGATACGACGGCTCAAATTGCTCTACTGTACTGCCGCACCAGCGACTACCTCGTAACTCAATTGAGTCAAGCGCGCCTCTGAAGAGAGCGAGACTGAGTTACGGAGAGAGAGAGAGAGAGCGAGACCGAAGAGAGATACACTGAAAGAGCTTGTTGTTGTCGTTGTTGTTGACAGCTGTTGGCTCTGCATTTGAGTGTTGTGTGCCTTACGCTCTTTGTTGATTGAGTGTGTGTGTGTGTATGTGTGTGTGTGCGTGGATTTACTCGGTGCCATTGTGTTTTATTTACTACCAACAACGTCAGTTACCTCGAGCGGAGAACGACACCGATAAAATTGCGACGCGTTTTATGCAGCTTGTAGATTTTGTGGAGTCGGCTAACGACAGACAGATTTCGGCCAGGTATACATCTCCAAATGCGCTACTTATGACAGTGATCACATCTGAACTCAGAAAATATCCCTGGCAATTTTCTTTTACATGACAAATCGTAACATATTTATAAAATAAAATTCATTATTCTTATGATTTATATATTTATTGTCTCAACCTATATACTGAGCTGTCATATACATATGTGCCCATATGCCTCGATTTATTAAAAGTAGCGCATCTAAAACCAGTTGTTCGGTCTGCAGCTGCCAGTTTTACATACAAGCCCAAGCATATACACACGCACACATATACAGTAATACCTTTGGGTCTGAAAGTGATTGCCAAGAGCCGAAGAGAACCTTAAAGGTTCAAGAGTAATTCTAAAGAGAAACACTAGGTGGATCAACTGTTGTTTTATGATCGTAGTTAATCAATATTGTTATACAATGCAATGACAATAGATGTTAACTGATTAACTAAACTGAGTTATCGACAATTGAACTTATCAATGCGCATTGTTTCAATGCCCAACCCAAATTCCACTAAAATAATGTCAAATGATCGATCGAGCTGCCATCGAACGAACAAAACAATAAGACAAGGTCGTTGCAGCCTAAAGAGACGTCCCTGGAATTAAAGAGACAAAGAGACGAGTACTACTAAGGGATAAGAGCAATTGTTGCCATGCGATGGAAAGGTCGAAAAAAGAGAGGGAGCGAGAGAGAGAGAGAGAGCGAGAGAGGGCAAACAAAGAGCAAATCATAATGCTCAACATTGGAACGTGCGAAAAATTGCAATGCATCGTTTTGAAGACATGGCAAATGTATATATGTATGTATATAGGTATGTATGTATGCATATATGTACAATGTATGTTTGTATTTATGCAATGATGGATCAGGTAACAGGTAAAATAGGTGTCTCATCCGAGCATCGATGGGTGATTGGCAAACGCGAAACTAACAAGCAACAAAATCTTAATGGTAACAAGAATATGGCCAACGACAACTTTCTTCGTTAACCACAAATTGCAACCACTAAAAACAAAAAGAAAAAAAACAAATCACAGTCAAGTTAAATTCTGCAATGCCAGCAAAAAGTGCTGAGCGGGTCAAAAAGCGAAATATCAATTGCAGTCGTTGTGTGTTTGCACACATACATAGATACACACATACACAAATGCATAGAGACACAACACCTACACACCCACACTCAACCACACAGCCATACAATGGATAAATAGACAAAAGATAAGCTCCTCTAACAATAGCTGAAAATGGCGAATGGTGAATGGTGAATGGGGATTGGGGATTGGCAAATGGACACAAGCTGAGAAATCAATGTCGACGGCTGGACAAAGGCCACATGTTGAACTAATCAGAGATTTAATCAAACTACGCAAATGCAGCAAAGAAACCCATACAAAAACGATCAAAATGTGGGGATTGGAAGAAAACCATGGGGAAACACACTAAAAAAATATTGTATTTATACAGTTATTTATCGATCGAACAAGTGTCTTTACAAAGTTCGTTTGCTTTACTATCAGGCTTTATACCATCTCTAGGAATAGAGCCTTTTGTTATTAATTATTATGCGATTTAATCCAGCGCTGCAGCATGTTGCTTATATGTATTATGTATTTGTTGTTGTATTTAGTTATTGTGGTTGTTTTTATAAGCCTTAATATTTTTTTTTTTATTTTCAATGGGCACTTGTTTCTCTTTGTTTAATGTAGCTATGGAAAAAAGTTAATAGCTTACCTTAAATATGGAAAAATTGAGCGTTGATATCTGAAAAGAAAGAGAGAAAAAATACATTTTAGTTGAGCACTTAAAGTCAGTTAAAAAATTTAAATTTACATTTCGTGCTGGCAACGCTGCGAGAGAAATGCGCTCTTAGTTCGAATTAAAGAGCTTGCAGTTGAGAATAGCAATGACATTGTGGACACTTAAGAAGCGCGACAATTACAAAAGGTTCTCACAGTCATTAGGGTCGTGAGCCATCGCAAGACTCGTGCTCACGTATTGTGTGTGTGTGTGTGTGTGTGTACATGTAATACAAATGTGTTTCAAGATTAATGAACAAACATGCAGCTGGGCGCATGGTGCTCAAGTGCTGCTTGAGACGCCAGCAGTCTGGGCAGAAAAGCTTGAGTGGTTTCGAGCAAAAAGCTCACTCATCACTCATCTGTCTAGGCTTATTCGTCACAGTTTCGCATACCCTTTGTCATGGGGGAAACTTTCGGTCAGAGGCAAGTTCTTTCCTTGTAGAAGACAACGACAGACTACGGTAAATTATAATCAAGGGTATTTAAGCTTCGGCCTGACGGGTTTATCTATTCATTCTTTCTGTGCTGTTATACTTTAAGCTTGAGCTCAAACGCGGTTGAATGAACTTCAATGATGAAGCGATGTGCGAAATTGAAATATCCTATATAAAACATGTTCAGCTTAGCCATATTTATAAGCAATTAGTTATTTATTTGCCTATTTTGCCGCCCACCGGATTACTGTGTAGTATCATCTATGTAGTTCTCGTCACTTTTTTACAGGGGTTAGTTTACATTTCACACCCATTTGCCTGACAAGCAATCTGCTAAGGGTTGCACAAACCCCTCAATATCGAATAGCGAATAAAAAACGCGGATACCGAGTGAAATTTTTCAAGTGCCTGCACCAGGCGCAAATGCAATTAAAAACCATTTAGCAGCTTAAAGGCAATAAGCCACAGATTGCCACAAAAAAATATGAGGCGTATTTTCATAGCGGGCACCGGCATTATCTGATATTTAATTGAGGGCGGCGGTGAGGCGTGTGAACGAACATGCAGCGTGTGATTTAACTCGATTATATCCTGCAAATGGGGAAAATCATAAACTAAGCGATAGATGAATACCCACTTGAAGCAGTATTGAGCCAAAAACGCTAATGGATTAGCCATTTCACTATTGATTGCCTGCGGCCTGAGGGAACAAACTTTAGACATAATCGAAAATATTAAAAAACTAAAATTTTTAAATATAAATTATTTTTAGATGCATTAATAAGTATTCAACTGTTTTAAAATTTCTTGTGAAAATATATTAAAATTTTATATAAGAACTGAACAAAGCTTAGGCCTAATAGAAAAAATTAGAAAACTAAACTTTTTAAATAGAAATTATTTTTATATGCAATAGTTAACTATTCGACTGATTTAACAACTTTGTGAAAATATATTAAAATAATTAAATATGTTCAGTTTTGTATACATGCACGCACGCCAGTAGAAGGAATTGAGATTTTTCCATGAATTCTGATAGTATTTATTGCATACTTTTAGGCTGCCTTTTGGGTGACAAATTTCTGGTAGAGCTGCTGACGGAAAACACGTCTAAAACATAAACACTTCTTCGTGCAGTATTTTTTCCGCGAATCAAGAACCGTAGAGTTCATGAAGACAGTTTATAAGCAAATAGCTCTTACGTGTCTCCGTCTCCGTCTCGATCTCTCTCTCTCTCTCTCTCTCTCTCTCTCTCTCTCTCTCTCTGTCTCTCCTCGTTGCCATTCGCAAAGTGGCTGTGAAATGTTACTGCACAATTTGTTTGTACAGCATCAATTTTGAAGCGGCTCTCAATGTCAACTGTCAGAGCCAAAGAGTAAAATGCGTAATGCAATTTCATTTTGCAGCCTCATTTCTTCATCAGTGCTGTTCCCGCTTGCAGTCTGCAGCACACAGCTGAATTGACTTGCCTGCATCTAAGTTCTGCAGCTGTGTCTGATGCGAGGGCTTCTGTGGGCAACTGGGCAACGGCCGATTGCAGATGCGGAGTCATGTCGGAGTCGCAATTCAAAATGATGCTACTGCCATCGCCCATCGCCTGTTGCCCTTCGCCTGCCTTCTGCTTCTGTTCAGCAATGTGGAACGTGGAACGTGCTCGGTGGCGTTGAGTGGGCTGCTGCTAAAATTGCATTAATGCTATTCCACCAACTGATGTTGGGTGTGCGATAAATGTGCCAAGCAAATGTCAAATGCGCTTCCCCCATCTGTGTATGGGGCTGACTATGATCTTCTCATAATGCGTAATGTAAATATATATTTAAGTTTCGAATACGATTCTTTCAGATCCCCTGAAACCATTTGAGCAAATTATCAACTTTGAACAAAGATATCATATGGTTCGATTCGGTTGTTAAATTTATAATGAAAGGAGCAGACGACGTCAGCAAGGCGATGTTATTTTCCATTCTTTCTTATTATACCCTGAACCTATTTAAAATAGTTTCATAAGGCATATTAATTCTTAATCAGCATCAACAGCCGAGTCGATCTAGCCATGTATAGACAAACTTTTGGCTTCAATATTTGGGACAACTGATATTATGTATCGGAAGTTGGGTTCTAAAAAATGTTAAAAATGAGTGAGTTTCAATTGGTAAATTTACGGTTCGGAATCCGATTTTAATTCCGGTTGGACACCCTGGCTTAAATGCTTTTCGAATGCGTTTTGAGACTTTTTTAATTCCATTTCAATTGATTGCTTAAAAAATTAATTAGCTTATCACACGTTCTTCTTACACGCGATAAATGTACACTTTGCAATCGCAATTTAGTTACGAAATCCACACATACACACACATACACACATACGCAGTTACACAGT